TCTTCTTCTTCTTCCTCTTCCTCTTCCTCTTCCTCTTCCTCTTCTCCTTCTTCTTCCTCCTCTTCCTCTCAACCAGTTGCCATTCCTCCTGCAAATATTTAATTTGCTCTGGGAGCCAAATATCAAATTCCTGCCTCTTGCAGCCCTCTTTAACCTGGGACCTTACAGGCATGTGAAAGCTCAACTATTAAAATGCCTCACCAGCCTAGATTTCAGAGGATCTTAGGGTGAAGAAGCCTAGTGAACAGGAAGGAACATGCCTCACCTTCTCTGACCATTCCCACAGCAAGGCACTTTTGGAACCGACAAAACTGGCACCGGTTTCTCCGCCGCTTGTCCACAGGGCAATCTTTGTTGGCTAAGCAGATATATTTAGCATTCTTCTGTACTGTACGCTACAGAGAGAGCATAAGATTAAACTGTTATAAATAAAGGGCATTTCAACCTTGGTGACAGAGAATCTGAGAAGTATTAAACAGAGATATATTTCTTGCAACATTTTTACAACCTGGGTGGTGGTTTCTCATGTCATCAGGGAGTCATCCTGTAAATATGACCAAAATCTCATGTTCCATCTTAGTGTGTCTTCAATGCACAGCTAAATAAATATCTTCATTTACAGGTAATAATATTCTAACATCACAGTAGTCGAAGCTGAAAGAATGTCAATTCATCACCTCTGCTAAGAAAGACTGCAAACTGTTCTAAGAGAACTCCCAGCAGCTCCAGCCTGCACTGGTAATTGTGAAGGATGCTGGAAACAGTGATTCAACATGTGGAGGATCCAACATTACCCATTCTTTTGCATTATTGGATTGTGGTATCTACATAGTAAGACACCCACCCACACATGCACCCAGAGTCAAGACAGGAAAGCATTTTATCTGAGGTGACATTCTTTTCATGATGCTACATGTATGACAGCCCTAGTGCACTTAAAGTCACTGTACAGATGATTCAGAAATCCTGAATAATACACCTTTCAAGTATTTTGGAAAAGCAGTGATTACATCTGTAAAGTCCTCTTTCCATTCAATTGGTAGAGATACAAGGGAAGTCAAATTCTTCAGAAGACAGCTCTTTATTCATCCATAGGCATTAAACCTCTATAGTTTTCCCAGTTTCTAATTTTAACAAATGTGTTCATTTCACCTTGTTTTGGCTTTTTTTAAAAAAATAATCTGCTTGGAAATGTATACACACTTTTCTAAGAATTCTTGCACGCAAGTTTCTTTACTCTGAGCTTATTTATAAGTCTTGACAGCAGGATATTCAGAGAAAGGTAATACAGTCATAGTGGGACTGTGAACATACATCAACATAAGTCAAATGTCACTTCTTTGGTCAGGCACATTTAACCAAAGGCAGGGCAATCAAGGTATGTGTTGGGAGTGCAGAAATGCCTAGAAGTTGGAGAGCTTGCATTTTTTTCTTCCATGTCTTCTTTGTTTTTCAGGCTGAGTGGGGGCTGTCCTCTTTCCTTGGAGAACTAAGACAATGTCGTTATGTGCATAGCATTCTCTCCTCCTATTCCCCCCCGCCCCCAACAACCACAATCTTGTGAGGTTGGTTGGGCTGAGAAAGAGAGACTGACTTCAAATTACCCAAGGAACTTGCATGACTGAGGGTAGGTTAGGACCTGAGTCTCCCTGGTGCCAGCCCAACTATGCCCAAGACGCCTCAGAGGCTAGACCTGCTCCCGCTGTTGCCTAGTAACAAAGAATAAAGAGACCTGTCTGGGCCTAGCGTTGGCTGGGAAACCCAGCCTAGAAACAGGCTGCAAGCAGAGATGGCAAGCTCAAGGTATCAGAGAGAGTTTTCCAGTGCCGAAGCCTCCACTGACAAGAAAAGACAAAAACACTCTGAATCTTCCTAAATTATATATGGAAGAAAATTTAAAATGGGCACAAAGACTGCAATTATATCTGCAAGATACAGATGAAGAGCAACAGTCAGGAGACTGTACACATTGTATAGATGGTGCATGGTACAGGAGAGAAAGCTCTTAAAAATCCTTCTATCTATGCAGACCAAACCACCAAAACATTAGCAATAATTCTCATTGTATTTCAAATGGATTGGGAGCCTGTCTGGAATACTCTATCTGACTCTATGCTTTCTTCCCCAAACCCCAAAAACTTTAACCTTAGACTTTCTACTATTGACCTCACCCCTTTCCTAAGAGGTCTGTAAGGGGCGTGCATAAGCGCACCGACGTGCCTACCGTCCCTGTCCTATTGTTTCTTTTATTTTTCTTATATGTATCCATGTATTCATAACTATGTTTTTACTTATACCTATTATCTTGTAAGCAATTGACAAACCAAATAAAATAAAAATAAAAGTCCTGTTTTTCAATAGGCCCAGTTTTAGCAACTTCGTAACAGTCACTAGATGGCAACACAGAGAGATAGAACCTGTCTCTCTGCCATCATCTCTTGGTCACTTGAATGTTTGCATCCTGTGTATGGCAGACTTATTCCCAAAGAAGCATGGAGATAAGTTAATGTCATCATATTCAAGAGAAAAATCTCAATATTGTACATTTGGAACCACCACAGTGCTAATCCAACATTATATTGGAAAATACCACAAAATAAACAAGACCTCATTCTTAATTACTGGGATATATAAAATGTTTAAATATATCTGTGTTTTGTATACAAAAAGTGGTAGCTATCTTACATTAAACATTGCAAAGTAAACAAGAGATAGTTTACTTTTAACGTAAGTTAATATTTGTAAGTAAAACAGATGCAATGTTGGTTATATTACATACTAGTAATACCAGTATTAAACTTAATAATGAAGTTTACTTTTGGCAGAGATTCTCATTTGTTCCTTTTCCCTAGGGACCCCCTAACCCTTGATCTGCTTCTAAGCAAAGCAATTTTCTCTAATGCAACATACTTGTGCAATTTTCTTATTATAGAGTTGTATATATTTTAGTCCAAACTGCAAAATTAGAAAAGTCAGAATGAACTTTGTTTTGGCTTGATTTGGGATTGTATTGACTTTGGAATTACAAATTAGGTTCATATTCAAATATGAAGCAATTTTTTTTGTCCCTTATGTATTTATCTGTTCTAGAGAAGTCATTCCATCAAAAAAAGGTTTATTCTGATCGCAAAGTCAATCACCTGTGTTAAGATTTGCATGCTGCAAAACAGATGTGCAACTGATTTACTAGATCTCCAAAACACAGCCATGAATGCCCCCTTTCTAACCATCTTTCTAGAATAGCGCTGGCTAACCTTTTTGGCACCAAGTGCCTCAGCTGTGCTGTGCATCCCTGTGCATGTGCCCCTTCCTCCCACGCATGTGCATGCATCCCTGTGCATGCCCCCCATCACCTGCGCATGCACGGCAGAGACCCAAAGACCAGCTAGCTGGTGGGAGGCATGGGCGCGCATGCACGGCAGAGCTGAGCTGGGACAATGGCTCGCATGCCTACAAAGGGGGCTCTGTCTGCCACCTCTGAAATGTGTGCCATAGGTTCGCCATCCCGGTTCTAGAATAGACCCACATTGCAAGGAGTCACCTGATTGTTACACCACCATAACCCATCAAAATCTCCCTCGTGTCAATTTTATTTGTATGATTTTCTTCTTGGAGTTTGCAAAGTTTTGTTCAAATTTCTGTTTTTCCATCTCTTATTTCATTGGGAAATAAGATATCTCTTATTTCAATTTAGCTCTTTAGCTAAATTTGTGACCTTAGTAGCTTTCTTTCACTTCAACCCTAATCTCAGGTTTATTGGGAAGCATCTACCTCCATTTCTATCTAGAACATAATCCGGACTGGAACAAGTGGATGCCCCTCCATTTGTCTCACCATGGATTGAATCCCTGTCTCACTTAGAAATTTGTGGGGAAAAACATGTGCAGTTAAGGAAAAACCTGTTAGTATCCCCATTCCCCTATGATTTCAGGAAGATTCCATTCTATATATTTGGAAATTATTCATATTACTGTTTACATTCAAAATTGATTTCAGGCCCATTCCTTCTGCCAAGATCTTGGGTGGGACAGCTACCGGTTATTTGCAGCAGGGAACTTTATATCTCAGTGACATTAACACCTTTATTTATGGTTGCAAGAAAGGAGATTTGCAGCCAGTTTAGCATGATCTACACTAAAATGGCTCTCTGTAGGATATGTTGAACCACCACTCCTATGATTCCCAGCCAAGCAGGCTAAATGCATCTGGTGGTTAAAAGATGAGCAAAGATAAAGAAGGCCATGTAACACAAGAAATCACATTTAATACTAAAACTCATATAAAACCAAGCTAAAGTATAGGTACTCCTTGACTTACAACCACAACTGAGCCCAAAATTTATATTAAGTGAATTTTGTCCCATTTTACGACCTTTCTTGCCACTGTTGTTAAGTGAACCACTGCAGTTGTTAAGTTAGCAACACGCATGTTAAGTGAATCTGGCTTCCCCATTGGCTTCGCTTGTCAGAAGGTCACAAAAGGTGATCACATGACCCTAGGACACGGCAGCTGTCATAAATATGAGTCAGTTGCCAAGCATCTGAATTTCGACGACGTGAGAATGAGGGTGCTGCAATGGTTGTAAGTGTGAAAAATGATAAGTCACTTTTTCCAGTGCTGTTGTAACTTTGAATGGTCACTAAATAAACTGTTGTAAGTTGAGGGCTACCTGTATTTTGATAAAGCAGTTTTGGTGATAATGCAGCACCTGTTAACTGAGTTCTACTGAGTTCTAACACAATAATAATTAATGTTCAGTGAATCACAGGTGGCGTTAAATGTACCGTATCAAGGCACCCTTAGAATCACTGGCTGCTTTTCAAAAATCTTAGCTTTTATGGCCACACACCGGCCAGACGTACTGATTTAGTCACCTAGCTGAGCTCCATAGGAGCTCTTGAAGCTCCGCTCTTCTCAGCCGGCACACAAAGAGCCCTTCCCAAAGAAAAGAGAAAGGCCTTCTTTCTCTTACAAGTACCGCTATTCTCCACAAAGGCAGGGAACGCCCTCCATTTCCTATTGCTGCCAAACCACAATGCAAGGGAGAATTCAAGAGACGGAAATGTGTGTTGTCGAGGGGCCTCCTTGCCAGAAGCGCCTACCCAGGAGAGCACATTAGCGGTTGCTCAAAGTAGCCCAACGTGAGAGGAATGTATAGCCTGTTACTCTGGTGTATATTCAGAAGGGTCCATCCCAAGGGAGCAAGGTCTTTTCTTCGTCAGGCTGAGATTAGACAGGAGAACTACGCTGTGGGCTTCAAGTATGAAAAGGGAGTGGGAGCGAAAACCGTATTTCAAGCTTTTCCTTACATGTTGTTGTTAAAAAGGAAAAAAAAAAGACTTGGCAGTAGTTAACTTGAAGCCTTCTGGCTGTTGCCAACTTCCAGTTTGGAGGGTCCTGCTGGCTGCAGCTGCTGAAGTTTGTACTTCAGCAACAACTGGAAAGCTGTAAACTTAGCTTGTTTACTGGCTACCTGATAACATCCTGAAAGTAAGCTCGTGCCCCTGAATGTTAGTTTTTGCATTAGCTAAAAGAGATTATCAGGATGCAGATATCTGCAGGTGTGGAGATAGGGAATCCCAAAGTTTGCAGAAGGCCTAAGATTTACAATGAATACTTGGGGGAAGGGGGTCCCACAAAGCACTGTGAGGACCGACTGAATCCTTGCTGAGAGAGAAAACACCTGAAAAAGACTTTTCAGGACAGCCTTCCTCAGCTTGCTGTCCTCTAGATGTGTTGGATATGCAGCCCCTGGATTTCCCAGTCAACTCTGCACTGAAGACTTTCCCGGTCTAAGTGCCCACTCAATAAACAGTGGTCAGACTAGAGAAGCTGAATACACTAACTAGGCTAATTTCAGATATGCCTATTTGACTATGTTCTCCTCTCTATTCCACCCTGGTTACAGACCTGTCTCTCCTTCGGCTTTTGTGACCTTCCAAAATCTCTGCGTTCAGAGGAGCAGTGACCATCTTTGGGATGCCCAAACCATCCAACAGATCAGCCTCCTCCCACCTGGCATGCTACAGGTATGTCCAATTACAATCCCTATCATTCATAACCAGTTTCTCATTTTCTGTTTTTTTTCCCCCCCCCAGAATTATGAACAGACATTTCAATTCTTCCTTGTGTATCTGCAATGGTCCCCCATTTTCCATCCCTTCCCTGAAGACCTTGCCGCTTTTCCTTGTGATCTTTGCAGAGTAGCCTTTCCCCAACATGGTGTCTGCCAAATCCAGTGGCCTACAGCTCTTTTTAATTTTGGGCTTAGCCTCCGCACACCCATTTTTACAGCAATCTACAATGCCTATTGGGAAGGAATTCTGTGCTCCCAGGAGCTACTGATTCTTGGCTGCTTTAGGTCTCAACAGTTTCCAGATGAAATAAGGGTAGCCTCTGAAAGACACAGAAGGATTGATATGGACTTAGGGCTTGCCAGAGCTCTTCTACAGCCTCCCACTGAAAGAATTTCCCCTCCCCCCCTGCCACCTACCCTTATGAGGGGAAGAGAGTGACCTCCTTTATTTAGAAAGCAGTCAGAGAAAGGTCTCATGAGTCATCCCTGTGGCAGTCAACACAGAGCAAAGGCTTTTCCTTTCCCTCCCTGGAAAAAGAGGTCTTCAAATCCCTGCATTCTTTGCTGGAGCTTAGGGACATGCAGAATGCTGGGATTGTCTTCAGCCAGTCAATCCCAACCTCATGCCCATCCAATTGGTTGAGAATACAGCTCCACAGCTATCCTAGGAAGAAGCCAAGCTGGTTAGGAAATTCGGTGAGTTGCTGCTTCAGGCTGACTGGAAGACCACTGGCTGGAGAAAGCTGTTTTAATAGAACGAGAAGTTTTGGAATCAAGTCCCAGCACTAGTTTGAAATCACACGTTCCTCTTACCTTGAAAAAGCCCTTGCAGCCCTCACAGGTCCGGACACCGTAATGTTGGCATGAAGCGTTGTCCCCACACACAGCACAGCGCCCTTCGTTGGATCCAGGGCTGCGTGTCTTTGTCGGAGAGAGGGAATTGTCCATCAGGCCAGAGCCATCTAGGCCTGGTGAGGCCTGGCTGAGTGGCAAAGGAGAAAAATGGACTGAGGAGGAGGTTTGCGGGAGTGAAAAGACTTCTCCATCCACCAAGTGCTGGTGGGCCGTCGGTTGCATCTTCAGCGGACTCTGGGGTGGGACTCCAGGGCTGTGAGCCGAAAGGCCAAAGGAAAAATAAGATGGTTGAGCTGAACTACTTTTGGGAGGTTCTGCTGATGCCACCGCCACCCAAGGCCTCATGCCCTCATAGGTATGAGTGGGGGAATAGCTTCCAAAGGAGTTCTCCCAAGTTGGACCTTGGGAAGTCTGGAAACTTGGCGTGGAAGGAGAAGGGACTGAGCACGGACTGCCATAATAGTCTGAGCCGCTTGAGGACATGGTCTCATCCAACTGGCTGCTGAAGGGACCAGGGTAACAACCGTATACTTGGAAATCTTCCAGCTTGAAGGATGCGGTATTGGGGTTCGCAGCTGGAATCTGATAGAGGAAAGCGTCAAATTCGCCTGTATAATTGTCCATGAAGGTACTGAAGCTGGGCAGAGTAGTTGTGGCAGCAGAGATCTCAGTATTGACCAGGTCCATGGTGGGTTTGCCAAACTCAGGGGTCAAGAGGTCTGCTGGGTAGCGCTCGTAGGACCCTCCATTCTGAAGCGAGGTCCCATATTGTGTTTGGATACAGGGCATCTCTAAGGGAAGACAAGGATAGGGAGAAGGAGAAAAATCTACCATTAGATATTGGAGAGATATAAAAAGTCCATCTGTGCTCTAATTTAGAAACTCTCATGAACTGATTTGGCAGAAAAATGATCATAAAGATGCCATAAAAAGGGAGAATCTTGTAAGCTTTCCCTGATCTACTGACTACCGGATGAGCTAAAATGATATTCTAGGAGCTCTTGTCCCAGAAATGTGGTTGGCCAGAGAAGACTGGTCTCCATTAGGCACCTTTACAAATATGGTGGGCTTTTATTAACATCAGTACAAATTGTTATTTTAGGTTTAATACAAACCAAGTCCCTGGCCTTGAACCTCCCTCTTGATCTTATTTCTAAACTTTTATTTACCAAAGCAAGGAAGCACAAATGGTGATGGAAAGAGTTTGGGGCCCTTGTTAAAAGACTAATATTTTGGATGCACTATTTCTTCATGGGGCTATTAAGAGGGCGATACAAGATGTTCTCCTTCCTTTCTATCTCTTGATATTCCTCTCTGCTGAAAAGAGAACAGCTATTAAATAGTCACGATATTGAAAGTTGGAGTAAATTTTATTTCTTGACCCTTGCGAGTGAACGGTAGTAGTTTTCTTCTCCTCACACAGTTAACGGGTTTGCTGCTAACATTTATTTCTACATCTTTTGCTTTATTGTTCTTCCTTGATGAAATTGGGGTACTGTTCAATTTTTTAAATTTTCTGGATATGTGAAGCAACAGTCATACACTGGTATGCCACAAGGTGTGCCATGAAGAGCCTCACTACATACCCTGAAGAAAACATTCCTAAGTTTTTGTCTGAAATTAAAAACATTTCTGCCAACACAAGAGGCAAGTGCAAAGGTAAACCTTTGTTCACCCAGAAAAAAACCATTCTTCCAAAACAATGAGGCATTATAATGCAAACCCAGCTGTAGCTTCGCAGATTCACTCAATATACGTATCCCATCTCCTTGATTAATGTCATTTCAGAGAATAACGAGGGCCAAATATTGCACACGATCCAGTGTTTTGATGAGGGAAAAAAAGAAAAATGAACAAGGCAAAGAAATAAGAAATGCAACTAACACAGAAGGGCCAGCAGCTCCTGAATTTTATAGTGGGTTCTCTCTCAATGTGGGAGATAAGAACTAAAGCATTAAGCCAATACAGGTAGTCCTTGACTTACAACAGTTCATTTAGTGACCATTCAAAGTTACAACGGCACTGAAAAAATGGACTTATGACTATTTTTCACACTTACAACTGTTGCAGCATCCCCATGGACATATGATCAAAATTCAGGTGCCTGGGATCCAATTCCATGACGGTTGCAGGGTGCCAGGGTCATGTGATCACCTTCTCCAACCTTTTTGACAAGCAAAATCAATGGGGAAGCCAGATTCCCTTATCAACCCTGTTCATAAATTATCAACTGCAGTGATTCACTTAACAACTGTGGCAAGAAAGGTCATAAAATGGGGCAAAATTCACTTAACGAATGTCTCAACAACATAAATTTTGGGCTCAATTGTGGTTGTAAGTCGAGGACTACTGTAGTATCCTGAAAGAAACAGGCAAACGTTCTATCAAGGTGTTCCAGGTGGGAAAAAAACCCCTCAGCATATTTCAAGAATTTCTTTACGAAAGTTAAAGGACTGAGGTAGCCATCTGTTTACTTAAAAACAACTTCAAACTTTAAATGACAAGCCTGCCAAGGTATTAACACCTGATCAAAGTCCTTAATTGTTCTTGTTTTCCTGCAGTGCCTGGGATTCCCACAGCTTGTTAAAGATTGATTTTGAAATTTCTACTGCTGCTATTCATTCCATCTTCATTTTACAAACTTGTAACATCAATATTTCAAAGTTCTCGAAATAACTTGATATATAAAAAAAACAAGGTAGAATTTAGTTTGGACTCAGTTATAGATCCGGTCTTTCTCTAATATTATGAGGCAACGGGGTTTTGAATACTTGAACTTCAGGCTGGTGAACCAAGGAGCGAAGAAAATGTGTCCTGCCCCTAAATTATGTTTTTCTCTTTTCTTCCCAATTTCACTCTCAATATCCTGAAAAAAATGCCCAATCCTAGAAACAACAATTCTTTGCATCACAATCAGTGCAGTTATCAACAAAAAATGGGAAATGCTATATGTTGCTGCCTTGCCAGCGCTGCAGAGGAAAACTAGAGCATACAAAAAAGAAGTTTTGGTCATGTTGTTATCCTACTTGATCATCCCACTTCTATCTTATTGTAGTTGTTTCTTTCAAGGAGATCCATTTAAATGTCAGCAGCCTCTGACAAGGAACATGAAAACTGAAGTTCTGGGAAGACAGAATCTCAGAGCTTTAATGTGTCTTTGGCCCTTTCCAAAAGAGGAATTATAACTGGTAGCTTTAGCCAAGATGGAAGTCAAGTCTGTATCAGCCACTCTTGTGGCAAAATGAAAATTGGTTAGGTTCTGTTACCAAAAGCTGCTGCTTTAACAGAGGAAAGAATGATGGGAGATACATAGAGAATTCCAAGAGATTTTTAACACTACACCTTTGAAATAAGGCTATCATCCGTTTCTCGGAGCTCCTTTTTAGTAGCTCGGCATGCAAATCTTTAGTTGGAAATAATCCTCACTCTGCTAATTAAAATTGATAAAAAATGGCAGACAACCTGGAATTTGGATGGGTAAGAAATGCATCACTCAAGAAGTAGCTATTTGTAGTTTTTGACTTATGACCACAATTGGGTCTGGAATTTTGGCCACTAAGCAATGCAGTCATTAAGCAAATCATCCTGTGACTGGATTGATTTTGCAACCATGTTTACTGTAGTCGTTAAGCAAATTTGGCTTTCCCAATTGGCTTTGCTTGATGGAAGTCTGCTTGGAAGATTGTAACTGATAATTACTTGATCACAAGATGCTACAGCCATCATAAATGCATGCCAATTTCCAAGCACCCAAATTGTGATCACATCTTTTTCACTTTGTTAAGAGGCAAAAGCCTGCGCCAAAAAGAGATTTTGAAAAATTGTTGACTTTTTTAATGCATGCCATTCCTATGAAGGTTTTCCCTGTTAATTTGTCCCCAAATTTTAGCAAGAATTCAACATGTTATGCGAATCAATATCCTACCCTAAGCTCCTAAAGAGAATGTGGCAGAGGGACTACTACGATTTCCAACAGCTAGGGAATTCGAGTCCCTTTCTGAGTTTTCATTTGAGACGAGGTTTGCATTTACAGCCTACACTGGTCAAATCTGCTCAACTTCTCTCCTTAAAAGAAAGATCTTGTCCACGCGTCTTTGGAACCTCATAACGGCTCTGCACACCCACTAATGCTATCTGATCTTGTTATTCTGCATTCCTAAAATAGAACTCGGCCATCCAATTGTTAAGGCTTGTTATGATTTGTTCCAATGTAGCAACAGGTGATACCCAGGGCTCCTCGTAACACAGGATTTATTAGCGTACTCTCCCCAGAGGAAGTTCTGATGTCTGCCAATGTGAGAGAGAGAGAGAGAGAGAGAGAGAGAGAGAAGGATCAGGCTCCCTAGGCAATGCAGGACTAGGGAGCTCCGTTACAGGGGCTGGAATCCTAATCTTAGATATTGCTGCTAGCACCACAAGGGCTGATTGGACAGCAGATATTTAGCAAATAGGAAGGATCAACAGTGGGCCTTTTAGCACAAAGCTCGGTGCGATACGTCTCATGTTATTAGTCCTTACTGTGCAAGCTTTTTAAAAGTCCTTTTTTTTAAAAAAAAAGCAGCAATCATGAAGTCTTTTATTCCAGCCTGGACATTTAGTTCTTTGTGATACTGTTCTAATTTGAACCCTTCCCTCCCCCGTTGCCTTTTTAAAGCCTCCATGCTAAATCTAACTCTACAACAATGACACAGTGATATTAGTCTACCAGCTCCTGTGGAGAGGGGGAAAAAAAAAGGACAGCCCTTGTAAATCAGAATTAAAGGAAAATGGCTTGACTTAAATATCGAAATAAAAGTAAGAGTAGAGACAAAAGGGCTGAAACACCCATGGACTGAGAAATCAATAATAGAAATACATGATGCTGTGAAAGTACAGGATGAAATTGAGCTAATTGAGGTGGAATCTGAGAAAGTTCATGGCTGCTCCATCGTTTTTTGCCAAGAGTCTCTATATGGAAGGTCTCACACTTTGCTATTGTCCTAAAAATGCCCATCACCACCGTCTACTAAATCCAAATGCCACCCAACTCTCCACAGCACTCTGCGGCTCACAACAATCAAACGAAGCAATTGAAAGAAGAATTCTTGCTCTAAGAGCATGGCATTATTAAAAAAAATGAAATTCTTTGACAACGGACAATTTGACAGTAGAGGGGGTTAGCTTTTAATCTTCCACCTCAGACCTGCTGGATATGCAAACGTTTTAAGAAAGAAGGATACCCCTTGTTTAGACCCTGAAGAGCACTGCCTGATTTTTATACTGATTTGACATTCGAAGCCAAAAGAAGGGCAGGCAACACACTTCTGGTGAACAGTCCTATAACAGAAGTCTGAACCCACCCAATAATTACCTGGGTAGATAATAGCTAGACTACTAGATATTTCTACCCTCTTCTTGAAAACAGGTGAATGACCTGTTCTCTTCCGGGACTGGTGGTTTTTCCCACTGTGGCCATAAAGTATTTTTTAAACGGGATTCACCAGAAAAGGCATTTCAAGATGCTTCAGTTTCTCTCTTTCTCAGTGCCTTCCTAGCTGCCTAAAAATACCTCTGCTCGGGCATCTATGGCTGGTGCTCCAACCCTTTTCCACAAAGAGTCTCACCAGGGAATCATGAGAGGAGAGCTGGAATTATAACCTCTCCTTTGTAGCAAAGAACATTGTCGGAAGCACAAGTGTCTTCTTCCTGCAGGCACTGTTGCCATCGCTTTTTCCTCTGTGTATTTCTCTCACAGTCCTCTACTATCTTCTAGTGGAAACGGCACAGGCGTTGCTATAACGACACACTCACC